GGAGATCAGGGACAAGTTTGTGAAGTTTATTTTAAAAGGAAAGAGCTGGCAAAGGAACTGGGGGGTAAAGGCTGGCGTGGGTCTGGGGACAAGATGAAACAGCTGAAGGTGGATAAAAAGAATGTTCTTGTGCATATGTGTGCACTGCAAAAGCACATAACAAAAGGCAGCCAGGTGACAGCAGCAGGCTGGGAGGATGCTTGGTATCCCTGTGCACTGCTCAGCACCCCAGGGGAACAGTGAGAATGAAGGGATGTGGGCCACTCACCCGTGGAGCTGAGCTTGCTCCAGGGATGAGGTGAGCATAAAGTGGCCCAGCGACATCAGGAAGACTCTAAAGGGACTGTGGTAAAGAGGCTTAGTTTTGACAGGTGAGGGCGCGGCAGTCCCGGATGAAATGACACCAGATAAATGACTGTCATATTCAACCACATTGCTGGCGCAGAGTTCTGTGAAGGAAGGTTTCCAAGCAAAAAGGGAAGAATCTGACTGTTACTGGGGGTTGCAGACAGAAAGAGTAAGCAAGTAGAAGAAAGCCCACTTTTATAAGAAGTTTACAGAAGACAGACAACCATGTGAAAGCAAATTGTTTAGACCTCCATGCACATGACATTAAAGAATTCTGCTCAGTCACAAGATGATTCAGAGATATGTCAAGCTTTCAGTCTGAGAGCTTATAAAATGCATTAAACTCTTGGCTGATCTCTTCCTTTGAACGTCCTTATTCAGTCCTGAGGTAAAGGAGGGCCAAGGAGCAAAGAAGCTTAAAAGGAGCCTGTGTGGCAGAGCTGCTCTGGGGGCTCGTGGCCTCTCACCGTTGCACAGCTTCATTGTCGGCAGCTCACTGAGTATGCAGCCTGGTGAAATGGTCAAGGCAAAGGGAGGGGAAAAAGCATGAAGGGTGAATGTTATATCCTTCTGTCATTTAAACTGAGCCTTGAGTTCAGTTTACAGAATAAAGTAATTTTGCAGGAGTTGTTTTAATATTTCAGTAACAGTAGTGAAGATCATGGCTGTAGTTACAGCTAGCAGTGTGGAATAACTTACAGGAGAGATAATCTCTCCTGAAGAATACATGATCTGAGACAGGGGTGTTGTACGTAAGCTCAGAGTGTAATATTAAAAGGAGCTACTATCTCCCATGATAGTTGCTTATGAAAGAAATGTATTGCTGGTTACTGTAGCTACGCTGCGTAACCCCCCCAAACTAATTTCCACTACCACCTTCGAACAATAGCTTGTGGATTTTTATCTTCCTCCCTTTGATAGTTCACATGGCTGTTCTCTCAGAATATGAATTGTGTCTCCATTAGTGCTGGGTATCTAAAGCAAAAAGTCATCTCATTTTTTTTCTGCTTACCTTATGGTAATGGCATATGGTAATGGTAATGCTTATGGCATATACACTTGACCAGTCTCAAACCTTAACGTATCCTCCATGTTATGAGTTTGAGCAAAAAAGATGATAAGATGATACTGGTGATACAGTCCTGTTGGTCTCATACATTTATATTAGACAATAATTTTTTATTTCAGTAGTGCATCATTTTGTGCTCACAAGTATGGCATTCCTTGATTAGGGATAGCCTATATTTAGAAGATTTTCAGAATTCAATCTCATTAATTTCTACATCAGTTCTGATGGCTAGATAACATGTGCTTAAATATGTAGGTTGCTCCAAAAGCAATGCCTCCTATTTTTATTTCCATTTCAACTAAAACTGATACAAATATCATAAGAACATATTTGATAGAGCAAATTCTCAGCAACAAAATACTATTTTTCGATATAGTCACCACCATTAGCTATTCATTTTCACCAGCAATGAGGCCTGAATGCCTCATTTGTAAAAATTTGCACCAGCAAAGATGACCCCCACAGCTTCACATCATTGCTAGGAAAATGTTGCCCACATAGTCCATCTTTCATCAGCCCAAACAGATAGAGTCCGAATAGAAGAAGGTGCCAAATCTGGACTATACGGTGGGTGTACATGTGGTAGGACAGTCCAGCTAAGATTGGAAATATTCTCCACAGTCTTCAAACTGTATGAGGTATGAGGCGTATTGTGTTGCAAGAGAAAAGTTGTCTTCTTCTCTGGCCTGCGTCTGGAAGTCCAAGCCTTCATCTTAGTCTGATTCGTCTGGGTTCCAGGAAATTCAGAAGGATCACCCTTTTTATTCCCAAAGGCAGTGGACATCACTTAAGCCACTGACAGCTGAGTCTTGAATGTTTTTTTTCAGTGGGGAATTCAGTGTTGCTATTTCAAGCACTACCGTTTTAACTCCTGCTTGTACTGGTGATACCACATTTCATTACCAGTAACAGTGTGAGCCAGGGAACTCATCTTCAGCCTCATATTGGTCCAGTAGGTCCTGACAAACTTGCATATGGTGTTCTTTGGTTTCCATATGAGCATTTGTGGGACCAACGTGACACAAACTTTGTGATATTCCAATGTTGTTACTATCGTTTCCAGTGCATTGAAGCTGATATTCAATTCCATACGCTGTTTCCTGGTCATAATTCACCAATTTGTGCAGATGAGCTGACTGAAATACTCTTTGTTTTGTTTTGCACATGACTGTCTGGAACTTGGCTTGTCTTTGAAATTGCTGTCACCCACGCTAAAACACACCACCCACTGCCTCACTGTGCTCACATCCACCATTTTCTCTCCAGAAACGTTCGTCAAGCATCAATGAATGCCAATGGGTGCTATTGTTTCCACATGGAGGAGTTCAGTGACACAACTTTGCTTCCTATGCACTCCCATGTCAGACACCATTTTGTCAGACTGCCCCTCTGCTGCCACCTGTCACTTGGCAACAAATGTAGTGGAATATTGGTGGGAAGGTTCAACTTCTACTGCTGTACCACCAGCTCTGATGTCATGGGCCAACAAAATAAGAGACGCTACTTTTCGGATGATGGGAAAAAATGCTACAAAAAAGGGATTAAACATCTCTCTGTGTTCTCATGAGACAAGGCTGAGGAGACATTACAGGAAGGGGCATTTGGGTAGATATCCTAAAAGTCCTTTAAAAAAAAATAATTAATCACCAAGTGGTTATGTCTGTACTGAGAGCAATTAAAACTCATTTGGGCATGTGTTGTAAGAGTGATCCAAGCTGAGCAGATGTTGCCCATGGACTAAAGGGTGACATCTGCTTTCAGCAGTTCCCAATGGTCAGGTCCAGTTGCTAGATCTGCTGTGTGCCTACTGCCTCCTTCCTGTGCTCTAGCATGAAGTTCAGTGCTGCACCAGCAGGGCAGGTGGACAGGTAGGGAAAAGCATGGAGATTTTTCCCTGTGCCTCTTAGGGCACCTCACTAGTCTGTGCACGCCACAGCTAGAGAAGGAATCATATGAATGAGCAAAAGCAGCAATATCAAATTATTTCTGTCCTGCTGTAAACAAGAAACTCCAAGGTTTCACACTGGTTCCTACCATCCTGCCTGGATTTAAATCCTCTTGTCTTGAATGGGTGATAGGATTATAAAACTGTAAGCCTCGATAATAATGCTGTCTTTAGGGCAGTGCACCAGTTTCATAACACAAAATAATTGCAAAGAAAGGTCAATGGCCTTATTCAGAGTTAAGCAGAAAGGTACACAAATGAAAATAACCAAAGTTAGCAAAGCAGAAAAGAATAATTCAGTGGGCAAATGCTCTTCCATTTCTTTTCAAACTGTAATGGTCATCTCTTCTAAGTTTGTTTTCCAGTTGAACCCTAAATAGTTGTAAACAGAAATTTTAGAATCTCCTTCCTGAATAAATAGCAGGTGCAGATTTACAGGATGGTGATGAATGACTACAAGACCGTTAAACTGGATGTGCCTCCAAATCATGCAGTGTAGTTCACAACTCCTCCAACCACTCTCTGTGAAGTTTCTTTAAACAGCAATCAACCCCTAGCCTGTTGTTATAATGAACACTTGAAGAGGGCTCTGGTCCTGCATTTCTTCTTTCTGGGGACGTTGTCATCAAGACAGCTCTAGAAAGAAAACAGAGAGCTTGCAGAAAGCTGGACTTTGCAGAGCATGGTCTTGAAACACATGGTCTTCTTTTCTCAGGAGGAAGAGGAGCTAATTTCTAGTTTTATCTTCTTACTTTTTGTCTTCCTGTCTGTAGCTGTCTCACAGTGAAGTATTGATGATTTTCCTTCTGATCCTAGGGATGCTTCAGGACAAATGGTGATGGTCATGCATGGCCCATCTGGCTATTAGAAGCTTTCCAGCAGCCTACACAGCCCAGAAGCAGCAATGCCGTCATTCCTGCTTGCTGGAGCATAGACTCCTAAGCTGCTCTTTGTGATTACTTGCTTATATTTGTGCTACGGAACTAAGTGCTTGAAATGAATATGTGCAGGTGATAATGGAAAACCAAATGAGCACAAGTGTGTTTTCAAATGATTATCAGTTTTTTTTCTTTTTCATTTGCAGGAAAGCTTCAGGAAAGTAGGGCTGGACTATCAAATAGGAAACTAAAGAAGTATGTTGACACATGAATTTTACAGATAATCATCCTTGTTTTGGATATTGCTTCCTAGGTGAAACAAGAGAATGAGAGAAGCATTCCCTTCCCTTCTCTGTTCTCAGCTCTGGCACATTGATGTAGTGTGCACAAGAAGAAAAGAAATGTTCGCATCAAAATTATTTTCCATATCTTTGAGAGAAACAAGCAACATATTCTCTTTTTTTTTTTTTTTTCCTCCTCCCCCCCTCCAGATTCTTAACACTGAGAGCTCTACCTTTTCTCCTTAACAGATGACTGTGTTTGATGAAGCCTTTTGAACTGGTTAAATGGTCAGGTGTCAGAGATCTATGAGCAGCTGGTGCTTGTTTCGTAAATGATGCCCCTACTATTGCAGTAAAAGACAAGCCTCAGTAGGCTATAAATACACTCTGTTCCAGGGCATCATCATTTTGTCTAAAGGAACATATAGTTGTTTGGTCTTCAGTTTTTTTTTGTTTTTTTTTTTTTTCTCCTGAATGCCCACTGAGTTATTATGCTGAAACATGACCTAAGCAAGTTTCAGGTAAGTCTTTCATAGGGAATTGCAATGCTCTGTAAGCAAAAGTTGATGTTGCCGTCTTTATCGTTGCCATCTGTGAACAGTCAGTGCTACTGTGTTACTTGAATAATATGATAGAGATGACAACAAATATGTATTGGTGGATACTATGACATTGCTAAATGCTCCTGTCTTCATTGCTAAGCTGGGTGGAAATTGCAGATCTTAGTTGTTTTTTTTCCAAAGTTGATTGTATGTCTGCATTAGAGTGAGTTAGAAAGGAAACTCACCTGGTCAGAGTGCATGGGATTCTGTGATCAGATGGATGCTTAAAAGAGAACTTGTATAGAGGGGCTGTATTTCCTATCTGTGGCTCCTCATTTTACTCCTATGGTGGTTATGGAGGAATTATAGGTAACTTACTGTATCAACAAAGCCCCACCAAGATCCTAAAGCTCACCAGACATTTATTTGATTATCTAAAGCAGTAAGGTCAGAGGAGAATGTATCTTTTGAGGGCTGTTTTTTGTAGAATTTTATATCCTAACTGATTGTATTTCATAGTCTCGTATACTCTGATAATATTTAAAAATAGGTTGTCTTGTAGTGTTCTGATCATTTTGTTTCTGAATCTGTAATGTATAGAAGTGAGAATTTGATCCAAGGCTTGGAAGAGTCAAGAGAGGGACTTATGCAGCATGTAAGTGCTAACCTTTTTTTGTTTTGTATGCTGCGTGATCTTTTTTCTCATATCGAGTGATTTGTAGTCTGTGGATTGTCTCATCTCTTTTGCCATAGCCATAACATGAAGCTGCCAGTGTGCTTGGCTGGAAATGTCAGTGAAGTGAAATTTAGAATAGAAAAAACTGAACAGATCTTGCAGGTGGAGTCAAATCTGCTCTGAATTTAAAGACATCTGAATCCAGAAGGAGAGCACATTTGAAAAAGGAGAGTGGGTTGTAAACACTTTGAACCTTGGGGAGGTTCATATTCTCATAAAATCCTTAGCCTTGTCTTTCCAATAATAATAATCTCTGCCTTAACTCTTCTTGCAATAAACCTGAACATCTTTTCTGCAGTTTCTCTTATGGAGAGGAACTGGCAGAAAGCCTGGGAATGTGGAGCCCTGAGCTGTCCCCTGGTTAAGATCTTAAAGTCTTCAGATCTACAAGTAAGAAACCAGCATCTCATAGGATCTGAGCACATCAGAGTTGCTTTTGACCATGACTTAACAAATGCACTCATGATTTAAAAATTGACTTATAATTTAGAATCACATGCAATTGCTCAAGGAAATTCCCTGGTAGGCATGGCATTCACCAAAAGGTCATGAGGACAAGAAAGAATTATGTTGTAGGTTTTCTGATACTTTTCAGAAAGGGCATAGTCATTTGTGCAGTATGGAGGAGAAGTGCAGTTGAGAAGAAGCACAAAACCTTTTTATTGTTGTTTTTTTTTGTTTCTTTTTTTTCCCTTCAAGCATATCTGGTGGGATTAGAACTTCAATAAAAATGTCCTGATAATGATGCAGATCTGTGAAATTGCAGATCTCCTTGAACAACTTTGTGCCCTTACTGTGTTTCTTTTTAGCTTTCAAGTTGCTGATTTTAGCCTCCCCTTATACTGAAACAATATTTTATTGGGGAAAAAAATATATTTTCTCACTTTCTTTTGACTTAAATTTCCATCGTCTGCATTGATACTCCAAAGGATGATCTTTGAGGGAACCGAATAATTGGAATCTTCAGGGTGCGGATTGTTCATTTTCCACTAAGTATGAAACTCATCATGCTGAACTCTGAATACAGCAGGATAAACTTAGCAGGTGTATAAAAATGAAAATAAAAGGATACTGATTGAAAAGAGAGAGGAAAAAAATAATGAAAGTGACATTTCCTCAATTCATCTTAAATACACAAAACTATTTTAGCTGCTTTCATAACAGATACCATGCGAAGAGACCCAATTAATTTTATCTCCATGCTGCTATACAATCTGTGTAATTCTTTTGGTCACCAAAGTGTCTGAGGTACATTATATTATTCATACAGACTTCATTCCTTAGAAAAAGAAATCACATTTAATCTCTTTTTTTTTTTTTTTTTTAATCTTTGGATAGATCTGCCCATGAGCAGTTCCAAATCTTAGCAGGAAAAAAAAGCATAAGTAATAACAACCTGATAAATTCTGTAAGAAACCCTAAAGAGAAAAGCATGTTCACATCAGACAGAGACTGACTTATAAATAGAGGCACACATACTGTGTGAATGTAATTGCATTTAAGGGCATAATATCTTTACACTTAATATATTGATGAGATGAAGTACTTTAACAGGAAGTTGCAGTAGTCTTATACTTCCTACCAGGATAAATGGAGAGAACACTGACAATAGCCAATGATGCCCTGATTTTGTCTATAGTGACAGGAAGCCAAATCCACTTCTGTGAGTCATTCAGCCAGATTCACTTTGGTTTTCTCCAGATTTATGTATTGGCACAAAAAGATGATGTAGTTGAGGCCCTCAAGGGAAAACACTGGAATGTTGATCATCAGGCAATGGCAGAAATTTTAGGCAAGCTCTCTGAAAGGTATGTGGGATGGGATGGTCCTGTTGCCTTGAAGTTTGTTGAATAGATAATGTGTTTTCTTTGCAAGGCTAGAGCTCGACAAGTCCTTGTGTTTTCAGTCCTGATCCTCAGTGCAGATCCCTTCAGCCTATAGCAAATACTGTGGGCTGCTCAGTATGCCTGAGCTGAGTATATTTGTCTCTAAGGATGGTGGAGAGAGAAAATGACACTATCTTCTGGAATTCTGTTATGGTGACACAAATGAGTATAATTTACAGGTTAGCAAATGGATGCTCAGTGATTTGTTCTCCAATAATATCTGAGAGGGAGGATGGATGAGTAGGTTGATTTCATAATTAAGCATGAAACTGCCTTATTTTAGGTTTTTGTTATTAGTTCAGAATGGAGCCATTCTGATGGGCTCCTTTTTTCCCTGGTTTGCAAAGTTTTTGGGAAGTTTTGATGCAGTTTCAAGAAATCTTGTGTTGAATTTAGCTGTATGCAGTCTGGATAAATCTGCATTGGTGTATGATTTCATGCATCTAGTACAGAGAAATCAAAGCGAAGTACATAACAGTACTTTTTCCATGTAGAGACCAATGCAGGAAAAAAACTACAGCCAAAATTGTGGGGGACTTCAGATACTGATTGGGTATGTGGACCCATACCATATTTTAAATGCCTGGGACCCAACATTTGATGGTTTATGTTTTCTCATCTGAATGTGAATCACAGTATAAAGCTTGCTGATCTCCTGCAAAGTGAGAGCATGAGAATTGTTCTTGAAATATTCATTACACTGAGTCTGCTGATTCCAGCAGCCAAGATGTACTCAGCTGGCTTTTGGGGAAACCTGAAGGATACCTGGGGCCACTTGGCATGGAATAGGGCTGGTAAACTGACTGAATCTGCATTCAGAAATGGAAAAAGTAAACACCATAGAAGAGACGAAAGCATCTCAACTTTCAGCTACAGAATTCAATGTCTCCTTTGTATTTAGAGGCTGGAAGTAATTTGTCAGATCTTTACTGCTTTTGCAGTGCTGTTTCCTTGAAAATGGTGGGTGAGTGCCCAATGTTCAGGCACTTACTTCGGTACGCAAAAAGCAATATCCCAGGACCTAGAAGTGATCCCTTCACCTTGCCCAATTTCTCTCACCTGGTTCACCCATTGCTTTGCAGATGCAATAGTGATCTTATGATCTTTGGCTGTGATAGGAAGGATGGGAGTAACTTCTCTGTACCCTCTTAAGGAAAGCAAATAGACTGGCAGAAGAAAGGGGTAGATGTAGGATGGACAGAACCATAACTGCACATCTCCCATACTCATAGTCTAGTTTCTGAGGAAGGGATAACCCGCTCTGCAGGGTGGGGTGAAGACACATGTCCTCCCTGCTGAGCCTGGGACTACTCAATGCAGAATATCACTTGTCATTCAGTCTGATGCCTAGGCAGCCCTGCAGCTCCATGCCCTTTCTGTGAGCGGGTCACACAGCTACTATCTAGTATGTAATGCGTGTGTTCTTTTAAAAAATAGCAACATCTCCAGGCTGCCCTGGTGTCAACTTCATAATAAGTGTGTATTTGTAACGGCATGGGTGGGAAGCCTGTTGCAATGTAGGACAGAGGGCCTGTCCTATATTACAGTGTTGTTTTTTGTTTTTGTTTTTTTATCCACTTAATAAGTGCTAACTTATCATGCTGTTGAGGGGAAAGAAACCCAACTGTTTTCTGGCTGTGTGCTTGCAGGGATTTAAAATACACCTTTAAAGGTATAAACATACTTGAAATCCCAAAGGATTTAAACACAGACATAAATCATATTTAAGTTTTCAGAAAGATAAGCTCTAAACTTATTGTGTTTTTACTGATTCAAGAAAACACCTTAAACTGTGGATTTAAGAATTCTTTCTACTTTCTACATTCCTCTTCCATGCATGTATCTTTGCTTGGCCTGCACATTTCAGGGGGCTTATTTATTTAATTGTATTGTGCTTTGCTTTTCCTTATTGTAAGTTATCTCCTTGGCAGTGATTGTGTTTAACATTTATGTCTCAACTAATAGGCAGAATGTATGTTATGGGCTATCATTCTTTTCTCTTTATCGGTCAAAGGGTAACTGTGAAGTTGAAGTAATTGTGTTGCTCCAAAATTGCCTTTAGAGGCTTGTTATGCCTCTTTTTTTTAAAAAAAAAAAAGAAAAAGAAAAAAAAAAAAAAGAAAAAGTGTTCTTCAGTATTTTTAGGGTTGTGTTTTTTTTTTGTTTTTTTTTGTTTTTTTTTTTTTAGCTTATAACACACAGAAAACTAATTGAAGAATCATACTTGTTCTCTACTTGCTTTGTTTTTCACAGCTGTAAGAAAGAGGTAGGCTAATTCCTCTTTGAGGACATGACTGATCACAGAATATTGAACTGTACCTTGCTTTCTTTAAGAGGTTCAAATAAGAACAAAAGTC